AAAGTTGAGGCGGAAGGATCGCCGGAGCCCAGCAGGTCGAGGCTGCGGTGGCCAGGAGAGTGCCACTGCACTCCAAGTCTGGGTGGCAGTGAGACTCTGACTCAAAAAAAAAAAAAAATTATTATAGAGACGAGGTCTCACCAAGTTGCCCAGGCTGGTCTCAAACCCCTGAGCTTAGGCAATCCTCTCCACTCAGCCTCCCAAATTGCTGAGACTATAGGCTTGAGCCACCACTCCCAGTCAGTATCACATATTTTATAAAATAACCACCTAAAAAAGCCAACTCTCCTGGCTTCAGTCCAAAACTCCATTCTAAAATCTCTGGGAACATCAACACCATTTATGTTCTGATGATGCCTAATTATATTTCTCCAGTTTAGACCTTTTCTCTATCCCACACTTATTTGTCTAACATGTCAAGAGGCAAGCCATGTGAAAAGCCTGGGGAACGACATTTCAGACAGAGGGAAGAGCACAGTCTTAAGAGAGAAAGACGCTGATATGTCAAAGCAACATTAAGAAAATTAGCATGCCTGAAACATAGCAAACAGAAAACCCTAAAAGACAACAAATGAGAGGGGCAAGAGGCAAAAGCAGAAAATTGAAAGCCAATTTCAAGGCTATCATAGTGACCCAGGAAAGACAGGATGGTCATTCTTGACACCTATAGAGCTGGAGGCAAAAAGGAGTCTGTAGATAGATTTGGGAGAATATCTAGAGGGAAAACTTAAAGAACTTACAGATAGGCTAAATGTAGAGAATAAGGATAAGGAGAAATGAAAGGTCTTTACTTAGGCTGAGGAACAGCAACGACTCAAAAAAAAAAAAAAAGAAAAGAAAAAAATGCCAATTTCACTTAAGGATACTTATGTTAAGCAATTAAAAACTATTAATTTTATCAAATCCAGACTCATAAGTACACATCTGTTTACTATTCTGTGTGACAAGATAGGAGTTAAATACAAAGCATTTCTCTTTTCTAACAAAGTACAATGGTTTTCTCAAAGAAAATCACTTATTCCAATTGTTTAAACTGTGAGCAGAACTGACCACTTTTCTTCTTGGAATACCACTGACTATGTTTACTTGAAAGAACAATTGACATTGAGAAACTATGGTTATTCAGAGTTGGATATCTGGCAGACATGTTCTTGAAAATAAGCAAAGCAAGCCTGTCACTTAAAAAAAAAAGAAAAAAAGAAATGACAGTATTTGCTGCCAAAGATAAAATACAACCTTTCAAGTAGTAATTAGAGTTTTAAAAATTTGTAACTGCCAACCAGATACAGTTTCCCAATACTTAGAATTTTCTGACAAGATTAACAGTGACAGTAACCATTGTGATTTTTAAAATATTATATAATGAAATATATCAACATGTGGAGTATCTGCATAATTCAGTGAATTGATATTTCCAAATGACATATATTTTATTACAAAATCATGGATGGGCAAAAGATCCATTAAAACTGCAAGAAAACCAGTGGATTTTAATTTAACAAATTCTAAAAGTTCATTAACATTGTTTAGGATTCCACATTAATATTTACATTTAAGAAAGTGCTATCTGTCAAATTTTAATGTCATATCAAAGACTATCCACAATTATTTAAAAGTACTGTACTATTAAAACCTCCTCCCTTTTCCTATTTCATACTCAAGTGAGATCTAATTTTCTTGACATACTTCAACCACATATGTCAACCACAATAACATATTAAAATAAAGTGAATGCAGAAGATATGATAATCCAGCTTTCTTTCATTAAGCCAGATAATGAAGAGGTTTGCAAAAATGTAAAGCAATGCCACTCTTCTCACTAAAAATGTTTTAATATAGGGGTGTTTTGTTTTTCACAAAAATATCATCTGTGCTAACATGTAGTGGGTTTATAATTATTGCTTTAAATGAATTAATACATAATATTTATTGAATTTCATTTTCTTATTTTTCTTAATCCTCATTGCTAATTTTCTTATTTTAATTTCTGGTATGGTAAACACAGAAGAAATAACCCACATAAACAAAATTATTTGGAATCCTCAAAGTTTAAAAGTGTAAAGAGGTCCAGAGACCAAAAAAATTTGAGAAATACTGCTCTAAAGGTCTTCCATGAAGGGAAGGAGAAAAACAAAGTAATAGATAGCTGGAGGGACACAGCAGGTCCAGAGAAGGGATCATTTAGGCAAGAATAGCTTTTCCTATTCACAATAAAAATAGGTACAATATTATACTTTTCTAATGCTTTAAGCAAGCCACTAAAAATAGTTAATAGTTTTTTTTAACTATTATAGTTGAGAATATGCAAATTTCTGATATTGTACAATTCATTTACAACATTATCATGAAACTTTTTAAAATTAGCAATGAGGATTTAGAAAAATAAGAAAATGAAATTCACCTGTCAAATGAAAGTTATCAAATAAAAAATGTCTTAAGTATTATATACTACAGAGTGCTAATTTCACTTGTGGGAAAAGTAAAAAAATGCTACGCTGAGCTCTATCCTAAAAAGAAAAACTAAGTCAACCATTATTACTTACTGTCCTTCAATGAGCCATGTGCACTTCGTTTTATATTTATAATTTCCAGGTCCATCTGTTACAAACCCAGAAGATCCAGTTAGTCTGTAATTTAAATTAAAAAAAACAAACTTAAGTCTGTCATAGTGATTTCATATACATTAATATTGTTTCATATAAAATATTTTCATATATTTCTTAATTCTCAATACAACACAAATTAACCACAGTGGTTACATTAATGTATATTATAGCCAGTAGAAAAATGACTGGATAGTTATATTCATATTGCACAAATTTGGAAGAAATACTTACCACACACAAAAAAGAGGCAAGAAAAATATTAAAGCCAACAGAATGAAGAAAAACACATCTAAATCTTTCTAGCTGAGAAGAGAAAGTCATACTTTATATCATAAAAATGGCCACAAGAACTTATTTATAAATATGAATTTGTTTTTTAAAATAAGATCACGTAATTACAGTTACAAGCAGAGTGCCGTTTAAACAGTAACTCGGAGGACAGCTTAGGTTTAACAGGCAAGCATGTCAAGTTACACACACAACAGGCCCATTATGGTCACTTTACTGCTGCTTCTAAAGTGGCCACCTACCACCCTCCCATGAGCGCAGTCTGCATCAGCACCTGTCTTCCCACACTTGTACCGAGACAGGTCTAATAATACGTTTAGGTCTTGCCAATATGACAAGCATTTCCTGGTATCTCACTAATGTTTCAACTGCTACTAACCCTGATGGGTGAAGATCTTCTTGGTCATCTACATTTCCTCCTTTGTGAGTTAAGATTTTATATTCTTTGTCTACTTTGCTAGAAAGTTGTCTTTTTCAAATTAATATTTAAGAGCTTTTTTTATATTAAGGATACCTCTCATTTCAATATTAAGGATACCTCTCATTTCTATGTTGAATGTACTGTATCTTCTCAGTGAGTATTTTTTGTTTGTTTGTTTGTTTGTTTTGTTTTGTTTTTGTTTTTTGAGTCAGAAGCTCACTCTGTCGCCCAGGCTGGAAGTACAGTGGCATGATTGCAGCTCACCACAGCCTTGACCTCTTGGGCTCAGGCAATCCTTCTGCCTCAGCCTCCTGAGTAGCTGGGACTACAGGCACATACCACCACTCCCAGGTACTTTTTAAACTTTCTGTAGAGACAATGTCTTGCTATGTCGCCCAGGTTGGTCTCGAACTCCTGGGCTCAAACAATCTGCCTGCCTCAGCCTCCCAAAGTGCTAGGATTACAGGCATGAGCCACCATGACCAGTCCTATTTTTTTCTTTACAGTTTGTGTCTAGTATTTTTTTGCTATATAGAAATTTTTAATATTTTAGAAAGATGCTATTTTCTTCCTTGTTGCTATTTCCAGATCATTTTCTCCTTCTTCTATAAACGTCAGTCTCTCTGAAACAGATGCTCTCTTCCAGATCTGTCTGCCTTACTTTCTGAGTCATCTACTGACATCCCAGTTACTCCTACTAATGTACTGAAGATATTAGTAAATTGTTCAGTCTTCTGCTCACCTGCATCACACAACAGGCCTATTGTGTGAAAATGACTGGATAGTTATACTCATATTGCACAAATTTGGAAACATCTAAGATGTCTCATCCAAAAGCCAGTCTCTCCATTTCTTAACCTCACCATGAACAATCTTTGTCTCCACCCCTTTTTAGCTACACACTCCACTGGCCCCTGCTATTAACAGTAACTGCACTACCACCAAAGTTTAAGCACCTCATCCTCTGACCACTGTCTGTTATCTCTACAGTTCATTTAGCCTAATCCCCCCTTTCTTCAGCCACATAAGGACCATCAATCCATTGAATCAGCACTTCCTCACTGTTCATCACTTACTACTCACACATTTCACTTTCTCACTTAGATTCCATAGTCCATCACAAGAATCATATTCTGCAAACCCTTTGATTTCCTTGTCTTCCTCTCTCCCTGTTATACTTGCCTGATATAGCTATTTCTGTGTCTTAGTCCCCAACATCCATTCCACCCCCATGTTTTCCCATGTCCCGTGCCAATGACTGATTAGAAATGTGTATCAGTTAAGATTAGGTTCTAATGCAACTGACAGAAACATCTAAATGGCATCGGATTAACTAAGATATAAAATCCAAAGGTAAAAAATCCAGAGCATGTAAGGCATTTCCACAATCATCAGGGACCTAATGTTGTTCTACCCTATTGCTCTGTCATCCTCAATATGTGGCTTCTATTTCATGATCCAAGATGGCTACCTAAGCTCCAGCTATTGCACCCACATTCTACCCAGCAGGAAGGAGAGAAAGAAAAGAAAGGGCACATTTGCTCCCTCTAAGTCAAACTTGACAATTCAACTTACATCCCATTAGCCAAAACTTAATAACATGTCTACACTGAGGGAGGCTAAGGAAATGTAGCCATTATCCCAGATGGACATGTACCTAGCAAAAATCAGGACTCTTTTTACTAGAGAAATGAAGAAAGGTTATGATGGGTAATTATTAATCTTTGACATAGAATGTAACTTAATACTTAGATGTGAGGGGAGGTCTGGTGGATGACTTCTAGGAAATATTTTCTTATTCTTAAGAAAAATAGTGTGGTGCAGGGAGACATGCTACCTAAAACTCCCTTCAAGGTAGGACTTGTCAATTACAGCAAGGGAACATGGTCCTCAGACCATCATTTTTTCAAGGGCTGCTCTTCCCAGCCCACACCATAAGGGGTATAGAGGCCCAGGCATTTCAATTCAACACAGGACAACTTGAACAGGCAATCCTGCTCCAGAGCTCCCCTTTGTCATGCCTGCATCAAAGCTTAACTTCTTCCTTTACCTAATTCCTCTTCCGCTTCTGCTTCCTAGAATGTCTCTCTCTCACTGGTATTATAACCAACTTGTACCCAAACTCCGTCTTAGCAAATGCTTTCAAAAAACCAACCTATGACAGACATCCAAGAAAACCCTTCTCTCTCTGGATTTTGCTATAGCTGGATTTTAGACTTGAAGTACTGCAGCCGTCATGCTATGAGCCTGAGCACAAAGCCAACACCAAGGAAGACATATCAAAGGAATGCAAAGCTCCCGGAAGAGCAGTACCAACCACCCACAAAAATCACTCTACTTTAGACTTCTAGTTTCATGAGTAAATAAATTTCCCACTAGTTCTTGTTTTATTGTGTATGTGCTCCCTTGATTCTTTGTTTTAGGTTCTTCTAGCTCAAAAAGTCTTACAGCTCTCTATTATGCTTGTTTTACTCATAAGAGTTTCTGTTGACTTCACATGAACGAATTAAAGTTTGCGAAATCAGCATTACTTTAAAAAAATAAATATGTGTGTGTGTGTACACAAACACAACTTTTTCCCCCCCAATACAGGGACTCACTCTGTTGCCCAGGCTGAAGTGCAGTGGTGCACTCCAATCTCACTGTAGCCTTAAACACCTGGACTCAAGAGATCCTCCCCTCTCATCCTCCAGAGTTGCTGGGACTACAGGCACGTGTCACCATGCCCAGCTTTTGTATTTTTTTATTTTTTATTTAGAGACAGGGTCTTGCACCTAGGCTGGGAAATAGATCACTTTTATTTTAAATATTTACTTAATATCTTTAAACATACATATTCATATAATTTTACAGATAATACGTAGATATAATCACAGGCAGGGTTTTTTGTGTTATTAACTAAAGAGCAATTCTTTTCTTATTTACCTCCCCAGTTACTCTCACCCACCCTTGACAAAGATATTTAACCACCTAGCAAGCATTCTAAACTACTTTTCTTCATACTCATGAATCTATGATACATGCATGAAGTTCTTAAATCATTTTTTGGTTACACAAGTTAATTATTATACAACTTTTCTGCATCTTTCTTTTCTCACTCAACAAAACCTTGTAGAAATCTCTCCAGCAAATCAGGTATTAGTCTAGTTCTTCTTCATGTGGCATAATATCTCAACCTATAGATATTTTTCCTGCCCTTCCCCTAGTAATAATTGTCTTGTTTTCAGTTGGCTGACATTATGCACATTGCTGCAATAAATATCCTATAACATATGGTCTTACTTTCTTGTGCATTTATTTCTTAGAATAGAAATCTTAGGAGGAGAATTACCAGGTTGGAGTCTTACTCTGTATCCCAGGCTGGAGTACAGTTGCACAATTACAGCCTCGACTTGCTGGGTTCAGGTGATCTTCCACCTCAGCCTTCCAAGTAGCTGGAACTACAGGCGTGAGCCACCACATCCAGCTATTTTTAAAAATTTACAATAAATCAAAAAATTAGCCGGGCATGGTAGTGCGCGCCTGTAATTCTGGCTACTCGGAAGGCTGAGGCGGAAGGATCTCTGGAGCCCAGCAAGTCGAGGCTCCGGTGGCTGGGATCGGCCACTGCACTCCCGTCTGGGCGACTGAGAGAGACTCCAACTCAAAAAAAAA